AAATTTGTAAATTTCAATTTTATGTGTATTTTAAATGTTGTGGTTTAGTTTCCAACATAATTTGAATAATAATTTCTGTTATGCGGTAATTTTACTTTGAATATAGCCTTTGGCAAATTATATTTTCAAATTATCAACATTGAATAGTTACAATTGTAGAAAATTGTTAATTGTGTCGTTCATTTACATTTATGTTCAGCTACTTACAGCTTCAAGACATTTATTCCGTGAATAAGTTACGGCGAATCGTTAATGCAATAACTGCAAATTGCAGTATGTGCGACGTTTATTACATCCACCGGCTATAACACTTTACATCGCCGCTACAGATAGATAGTGTTTGCACTATTCCAATTAAAGTTGTACAAAAACAAGAAGCCCTATTAATATTATCGAAACCAACGACACGTGGATCTACCATAAACAGACGTTATCTCGAACGGCCTATCGACCCAGTTCGTGTGATATTAAAGGAAACACGTTACGATTCTTGGAAATTGGCGAGTTTAGATGGATTTAGAACATATGGTACATCGACTGTAATAAAATATTTACAATTGGATTAACGATAACGTTCATAAAAATGTGCTTCATAGCATGTTTATACTATACAGGTTATCTTCAATTATAATAATAAAGTGGTTAAAACATAATGCTTCAGCCAGCATATGGCTACAATACTTTTCTTTGCTCTCTCGTCATTTTAGCGCTTTTATTACTCTATTAGTTTATTACCCTCATTCTACCTCAGAATCAACTAAGCTTACGTTCATTTTGAATGAGTATACAAAGGAAGATATGGTTGTAAACGTTGTTTATGCAAATGTAAAATGCTGCGGCTTACAACACGAACGACCTAGAGAATTCCACAAAAACTTAGAATAAATTTGTCGAAAAGTTGTAATCTACTTTTTTTGAGTGAAAATGGGTTAATTTACAATAATTCGTTCACTTTATATAATTTTCCTAGCTGGATCAGTTGCATTCAATGTTGAAACTGTCCTCCTGTCAAGCTCAACTTTCAATCTTTAGGGTTATTGGGCCAATTTGATATAACGTGGATATGCCGGATTGAAAGCCAAATTGATACGGCAATATTTTCTTTAAAACTGCTGTCACCAATTTCAACAGTCTGAAAAAACTGTATTACTGGCAGTAATGTCAGAGCAGTAACTTGTTGAATTGAATAGAGAAATATGCCGTGGATTAGTTCAGGGATCTTACAATATTTTTTTAATTTACACTTTAATGAACCTATATGTCCTGGCAATCACGTGATTTAGGCTTTGTTTTAGGTTTGTGATTTCATTTCCTTTGAAAAGCTTCTTGATCACATTATTTACGAAGTTGGAATCTCCCATTTCAGCATATCGTTATTACAGTACATTAATCCTTACCAACCCAACCCAACCCAACCCATCCCAACCCAAACCAAACCAAACCAAACCAAAACCAACCTCGAGGAAACGGGATATGAAAGTTGGATGTCAGCATTCCAGGAAAATAGGACTAAGATGTCCTAAATAAAGAGGAAGAAGAACAAATGTATAGGTAGGAATAAAACATGTTTGCAGAATGGATTAAGAACAAAATAAGAACAGCCGAAATGAGAATACTGCGGGCAATAACAGACCATACCCCACAAAACAAACAAAGATATAAGGCAACAGTACGAAGTAGAAGAACGTAGTGAGATGGGTCAGAGCTAGAAGAGACCACGTGGACAGAATGGCTGACGATCGGATAGCCAAAATCCAGACTAAACAAAGAAAGGCCTCCAGGTAGACCCCCGAGGAGATGGTATGAAAGTTGGACATCAGCACTCCAGGAATGAGGCGTAGTCGAAGTACCATGTCCTAAATAAAGAAGAAGAAGAACAAGAAAAGTACAGGCGGGGATAATATAAGCTTGCAGTATGGATTGCTCACGAATGTTAGGACACAGTGAAGTGTGCGTATTCTTTCTGACGAGGACTTAATAGTCAGGATCATTAGTATTCCACGTTGTAAGAAAATTAGTTGTGCCAAATCGAATCCTATTGGTGTTTTCTTTTCATTAGTATCAAAAAACTAAATTGACAGCACTAACAAATACTCCGAAATATATTCTAGTGTACTGAACATTTCAAGTATTACCACGAATATAGCAGCAATTGATTTAATAGTGCGCAAATTCACAGTTTGGTACATATTATATTTTTTGGCTATGTTGTGTTTGCACGTTCCAGGGGTACCTATTAAGATGATGTAGGAATATTAAAGTTATCTTGGATTGTTCTTCATGGGGAAATTGTTTTAATTAGTATTTGAATGTTAACAAAAGGCTTTCAAGACATTAAGACAAGGTGGTATCGAAAACTTAACGAAATTAACAAACATTACAACGCATCTGTTGGAAAATTTCAGCAAAGAAATACTCATTTGAGTAGCATCCGATTGGGAAGTTGGCAAAACATTTAATACTATTATGGTGTCAAAAGAAAGGTTTGGAGAGGTTTCTGTGGATGTTTTAATGGTCCATGCAACATGTCACACATTTGAGAATTTTTAAAGCTTGTTTAACTACAATGCCATTAGCAGGAAGATTAATGTGATTATATCCAGGACAAGTTAGGAATACTCTATTACAATTAGAATATCTAGTGATTCCATGATATTATAAAGGTTAATAACATATATTAGGATTTATAACATTAATGACTTGTAGAGGACGACATTGCAAGATTATTTGGGCAGACTTATAATTTGTGCAGAAATTTTATCACAGTTCTAAATTACAAGAACTGAAATTGATTCCTCTTGTAAAAGAAAGTGAATGTTTAATCTTTGTAAATTTATATCTTGCTTAATCCCTATAATTACCCCTTAATACACGATAAATAACTATCAATTAAACGACACATAGACGTTTTTTCACCATATGCAAAAATAATATAAATGGAGAATGTAATTGTAAACAACATAAGTGATGGGATTAGGAATAAACTTAGAAATGCAAAAAATTAAAATTTTTTCGGATAAATCAGATGTCTTCGGGCAGAAATGATTAATTCTTATCCTTTTTGCCGTTCTACCATAATCTATGTTTGCTGTTTTATATTGTCCATTTTGTCGTTTCTGCCATTTAGATTTCTAATCGTTTTTAAAAATCTTTTTCATAGCCGACCATGGAGGGATTTAAAAATAACTAGAAAGTCAGTTACTAAATTATTTATTTATCAGCTTATGAACGGGTGATAATAAAAACCAAACTAATTTTGGTGTTAATTATGTGTTAAACCCCACCCTGTATTTTATATTAAATTATATTTTATTTAATATCTGATAACGATTGGTGTAATTCTAACAGAAAATTAGATACTTGGAAATAGAATTAAATCTCTTCGTCATCAGTAAGAGGACGATTAAATCTTCCAGGAAGAACTCTCGCGGAACTCTCTTATACGTTCTGCTTTTATTGTTTTAGAAATTAGCACTGTGTGTGAACGCCAGAAGAGATTGAATTTATAGCGAAGGCATTATATCGTGTGCTTAAGAAATAAAACGTATACTTAGAAGAAAATAATAAAAAATAAGTTTATTCTTTGTAGTTTGTCGTTGAAATTAAATCGCACAACTATTGGATTTTGTTTTATCTTAACATTTATCTTCATAGATTTGTTATGAAAAATTTTCAAATATAGCTTAAGTTTTGAAATTGTTTTTGGACCACTCCACACTTTCTTGGTCAAAAGGAAGACAAGATTTATAACCCGCCAAAATCTATTTATTTTCATTACAAATTCGTCCTTTGTTCGCACGATGACACAAAGCCTGGATGCATTTCCTTTTGTTTACACGGATGACTAACGCTAATACGTTTTAACCGGCCTGGGTTTTATTTCGGTGTTCAAGAGTGGACGGGGGACGGCCGGTTAACGATAAACGAGCAAAAGAATCGTGAAGCACCATCTTCTTGTCTAAACATCGTTTCCAAAATGTAACTTGGAAAACCTCTGATGCCGATTGAAAAGCGAAACGCTTGAAACTTGAAACTGAACAGCAGACTCTTTTTGTGGCCGTTACAAAATTCGAAATTCAATGGGAAATAATGAGGGCTATTATAATTCCGTAGTGAAACAACAATTTAATTTTAAACGTACGTGCTATCGGTTATCTGACGATAATGATACCTTTGCGTTTATAACACAATACATTGTTTGTTGTTTTCGAATTAAGTATTCAAACCGCTTCGTATGCAACCATGCAAATCGAAACGTGTTACCTTCATGAATGGAGGCTATGTTTTTGTTTATTCAATGTCAGTATAATTTTGTGTACAAATTTTGTGGTTGATAAGAAATGTTACAAAAAGGTGGGGAAAATTGTTAAATTGAATAGTTTCTAATAGAATATAACGGACAGGATGTTAAATTATATTAATTTGTTACCTGGAAATTATTATTGGTATTATTGGGTTGACATGCATCTCGAATTATTGAAATTACGGTTTATTTCTTGTAAGGAAGTAATCTTGTTACATATACATAACTGAGAATAATAATTAATGTTCATATTTTGCTGGAATTTTCCTCAACCTAAAATAAATTTTGTTAAATTTGTATCAAAAATGATGAAAAACTTTTTGGGCATGAACCAAATATATGAAACACCTATTTTATAAAATTCTCTAAAATTGTGTCATTTTGGATATTTTCTTTTATAAGTGCTTAAAAAGGATGGATAAAGGAATGAAAGGATGAAGAATAAAAATGAAGACATTAAGTCATTGTATTTTTGGTATAAAACGTTTGATGCTGATTACTAGAATGCTAAAGTTTGAGTAATTGAAACACATTTACGTTCTATTCGGCATGTATGTAATAAGAGGTATAAATTTATACATAAAATCATCTACTATTTCATTCCATGTAATCAATACTTCTTAATACATTTTTATCAAAAACTGCTCGAATACGATAGCTTAAACTTAATCGATAAATTGAAAGCAGCTAAACTTACAATCTACTATTTCCACGTATATTCACCCCATTAACCATCATAGCTCTTAGCCGATTTCTTCCAAATCCTTCACCACAACAATATAGTACACCAGCACTAAAAAGTCAAAAAGTGTCTATTTCACGTTCTTATTTTTATTCACCCTCTACACAAAAACTGTTTGCAAACGATGCACATTTTGAAAACGTTAAAACTCTAAAACGTGAGACTGTACTCTATCGTTCTCCTCATTTAATATTCGAACGGTTTTGGTTGTAATGGGACGGCACGTCGCGTGCTTGTGTCACACGAACACACCGGCGCATAACGCCAGTGCGAACTAATGGCATGTATATGGTGTACTGAGAGAGCAGAGGTTGGCTTCGAGTTCGGTTGGACGACCGACACGGTGACGGCAACAGTAACAGTAACAGCGAAGGTAGAAGGCAGAGGTAAAGTCGTCGGAAATGGCGAGGAGGAGATCGAGAGTGTGTTGCCGCCGCTGCTTTGGTGCGCCACGAGAGTGCGGATTATTTTGGTGCGCGGTCGCACAGAGTCAGCTCCAGCTCAGCTCACAGTCAACTCGACTGATCTCCCACGTATTTTTGTAAGCCCGATGGCGCCGCGACGTGCACATGCAAAGAACTAAACTAGCACACATGGAATTTGTTTAGTTCTATTTCGTTTCTCTCTTATTCAAATCTTTTTACCTTACTTACAAACATAATCTAAGTAACAAACTTTGTACGAAACAATAAAATATTTATAATGGAAACGTGTTCAAAGTTATAAATTTGTTTCCTTTCGTTATCGTGTTCATTTAGATAACTTTGTGGTTGCGTTAATTAAATAAACACCAGCTGCTATGAAACAGAATCTTACTTCCTATGATTGACAAACAATACATTGTACAGTAACCACATACACTGTATTGATAAATTGAAATTTGTCACTATCATGACTTTAAATGGGATTTGATAAATCAGCGTACCAAAAAAATTACGTTACTACAAAGACTCGAAAATGCACGTTGCGTTTATATCTTGCTAGAAGAAGGTTGCTATAACACGGTAATTCCAAATCATGTATGATGTAAGATGAAATGTAACAGGAGACATTACGTGATTATTTAGTTATAAAAAAGCAATTAAGGATATACTGACATTTTGTGGTGAGGAACAGAAAAGTCCGTTAAACTAAAAAAGGATTAGAGAAGCACAAACGATTAAAATTACCTATTATAACTTCGCATTTGCTTAAAAATAATGTATGCAACTCGAGATAGTTGCAATATCCACGCTTGTGATTGGAAGACAAAAAACTGAAAATAAGCAGAAAATGAGGTGTTTCCAGAAATGCCAGAAAGATGAAAAAAGAACCTAAAATATAGCAAAAAAAGAGGCAGAATGAAAGAAGCAAGACACAATGAAAAAGTTAGTACTATTCAAGGAGGCAAAAAGAATACAAGCTTGAGCATGCTACAACCACAAAATCAAAAGAAAACCTAGGAGGAGATATTAAGATAGATAGCTAAAACGAAATAAACTGTAAGCTGTTTTGAGTCAACCCAACCATGTGACTTAAACATCACCAGTATGTGCAAGTTGTAATGTACGGTTTAACTAATGAAGATGCATACTTTGACATTTTTAATCTTAGATTAGTAATTTTACAACACTCGTTGTGATTATTCTTAGTTTACTACTCTTCACAAATCTCTTTGCGTTTCCGGATCTTTGTTTATACTGTTTAATTAAGTGGTGGTGAGTGCATTGTTTACAAATTTTATTGCTTTGTCGATTATTTTAGGTTTCCGTAATAAATTTTAAGGAAGTCAATGATTTACGTCCAATGCGGAAGTAAGAGAATTTCTCAGTTTTCGATAATGATATTGAATAAATCATAACTGGAACATGTTTTTAAAAAAAATCATTGCTGCAAAAGGAAATAGATGGAGAAGTGCAATGAATAATAGCTCAAAGCGATCTTCAATTAGAATTGCGTTACTTTGATGATGAGTTTTCTAAAGAATCAAAACAGTTTTTCGGGGAAGTCCAGTTTTGCTAAAGTACGATAAAAACTGAATATAACGGACCTCGTTAGAACTAGCTTCTAGACTTTAGAACGATTTTATCCGTGTACCTATATTTTTCATTGAAGTAAAACTAGAACTAACACTAGACCTACAACTAGAAAGTTTTAAAGACGTAGGTCTTCACAGTCTTTAAAGTGCAACTAACACTAAATCGCCATATTAGGTAAATTAATTTATAAATTATTCTTACTTAAGTTAAAACAAAATTAAAAACATCGAAAATAAGATGGAAAATTTATGATTTAATTATAATTATTTTTCAAGGTCCACAGTTGCAGGAAATAAAGTGCAAGACATACGTGAATCGTTTTCGCAGTCGTTCAATTAACCGAGTTTTACCGAGTGATTTGATTAAACTTTACGATCTGTTTTCAAGGACGCCGGTTATTGCCTGTATACGCAAAAGCTACCAATTTACTTCCATCAAGTAAAGAAACTAACGAATCCAGTTTCGAAGTATAAAGACGAGAGTAAAGTGATCCACCGAGTTTTCCAAGCTCGAGGTTACAAACTAAATGAACCGGTGCGATTAGCCCGGTTTCTGTTTTTATTGATCTTTTTCGTCAAATGACCAGCAGCAGACGTAAAACGGCGGTGAACCTCTTTTAATTTGAAATCGAGATGAAAGAGGTCTGGTTGTTTCGATCGTTAGCCTTCGTAATTTGCCGTCTTGTTTTTAGTGAGGTATAGATACTATTGAATGCGTGGAATTTCCTCCGGCGAATCGGTGAAGAGGTTCAAAGATATCAAACAATTTTTGGATCAACAAACAGTGAACTTACAAGTCTATAATTAAAACTGTTGATGTTTCGATGATACAAGAAAGTATGAAAATATCTCGATTTCTAATCTAATCTGTTCGCAAATCGTAACTGTTCACGACATCCTCTCCAATAAAATCTAAATAGACAAAAATGAAAATGAACAGTTTCGATGGTCGCAAATAATTGTAAGCTATCAGGATCTACGCGGGGAGCATTTCCCGTAATATCGAGTTAATATACTGAGGACGTAAAGATTGGAAATCTAATGTTTCCTTCGACGCCCATACAACAAAACATGTTCGTTGAAAATGTTAGTTCTATTACCATAATTATCAACGGTCGCCGTTACTCGTAAATAAACAAAGCACCATTATTTTCAAAACTAATTATTCTGAAGGTTTTTAAGTATTTATTATTAATTATAGGAGCAATCTAAGACATTTTTATTGTTTTACCATAGACATTTTTTATGCATGACTTTATAAAATACAAAACAATAGATAATTTAAAAAAATTGTTTTATATTGTGCCAACCAAATCCCGTCATTTATCTACAAAAACTCCTTTTTTTTAATTTTTTGAGGATGCGAAATTATCTACTGTACATGCTTAGTTGATTTATACTGATAAATTTGGCGCCCACGACTGAATGTTTGCAAGTTGAGAACTTTTCCCAACATTTTTGGTGCACAATTTCATGTAGCTCCCGTTCTATAAAGAAAAAGATAAAAGATATACCATTGGAAAGCCACTAATTTAGCTTTCCAACGGGACCAGTAGATTAAGGGTTGTTGATGATGATAATTTAGTTTCTCTTTAGAATGCTAAGTCTTGGATTACTTTTCCAAAGTACAGAATTACTGTGAGTTTTCTATATAAAAGATACGAAAATGAAAAAGGTGCTTAGTTTTAACATGTGTAGAATGTCACACTGAACATGATAAGTGCAGATAATACACCTATTAAACTTTGGCAATGAAATAAAATATGTTGATAAAATGTATTTTAAGTATCACAGAGTATCTGATGATGGCGTAACCCGAAATGGGTAAGATTTAATGCATCGAATGCATAGATAGTGAGCAGAAAAAGTATTGGATTTTATTTTCATTTAAGAAATAAAAAACCCTAGTGTTACCCGTCAACGAAAAATTTTCTTATCTTCGTATTGTTCTCGATATTGGCGCATCTGAGAGCAAAAGTGCAAGAGAGCAATATTATTAAGAATAAAATTTCGTACAACTTTTGTTCTAAAATTTTTTTTATGACATGCTTCGATTCTCTAGTTTTACCATTATTAACTTGAAAAAGCAACAAATTCGTCAAATTTTTATATCTTGGTATTCTTCTCGATTTTGGCGCATCTAAGAGGAAAAGTGCAAGAGAGCAATATTGTTAAAAATAAAATTTGCTATAACATTCGTTCTAAAAATTTTGTTGTAATATGCTTAGATTTCCCAGTGTTACCATCAACAACTTGCAAAAAGCAACAAATTCGTCAATTTTCATATTTTCGTATTCGTCTCGATATTGACGCATCTAAGAGCAAAAGTGCAAGGGAGCAATATTGTTAAGAATAAAATTTGCTACAACTTGACCAATTTTTATGACAAAATTATCTAACAATACACTGAATATTAAAATTATGTTTTCTTGAAAATGAGTTTAATTATAGATAACGATAAAGAAATAGAATAAATTAAGAATATTCTTCTTACAAATAAACCACTTACAATGAATTTTGTTATTTCTTCAATTTTTCTATTATTATTACGTAACAATAGATTAATTATTTAGAATTACCTCGAAATATCAGAAACCTCCGAACATATTTGACATTCAACGAATTTTTTTCTTACTTTGCGGTTTCCTTCAATTAATTTAAAAAATTAAAGTCTAATACATTTCTTAGAAGAGTGTTTTAAATAATTTGTATTTATTTCAATACAAAAAAGTTTATAACCTACTAAACCTTAATCATCTATGAATATCTAGACTAGAACTAAACGGACTAATATTAATGATATGTAATTGAATCAGATATGTACGTTTCAAAGTTGCTCGACATCATTCAACTTTTGTATAACGGTTTGTGTGTAAATGATTGATTACAATAAATTATGATCTATCAACCGTATAACGTTTTGCTGGCGGATTACCTCGTTTACATGAGTAGTTTTATGCAAAAATATTTATCAAGCGACAGTTTTGCAATTAATTACAGAATTTGCGTCATTACCAACAACGGTGATAATAACGTAATTTCTTCCGTTTAAATCTAATTAGTGTATCAGGGAATAACGATTAGAGCGTTCGATGAAGCATTATAAATACTCATGTGTCGAATTACTTATTTTATTATGTAAGCAATTAATTAATCGATTTGTCAGGTAATTGTTTACAAAGTAGTGTAATGATTTTTCTCGGGAATTAGTACTTAATCAGATTATGTAAACAAATATGAAGTGTGAACTGGGGATCGTTGTATATTGCATAATAAAATACTACGCGAAAGTACAGTTTTAAATGATCAATGTACTATGTTTGTTGATTATTACATAATCGTTTAATTAATTTCTTCGTAATCCGGTTGGAAATTAGAAAGCAATAAGAGAGCGTATATCAAGAAAATTTTAACTGAAAATATTTCAAACGAGAGGAAAGA